AGTACTTTATAGTGGCAGTACAAGTAAATAGCTGATGAGTCACTATCCTTCAAAACTGCATTCGGGCAAGATTATTGCTACAGGAGGCCAAGCCAAAGTGTCTATAAAAGGAGAAAGAGAAATCAGAGTCAATGACACTCAAACAAACCAACAAATACAAGCACAAACTCTACTCAAAGCCATATTTACCTTCAAAACGAAGCTGTAGTCAGCCAAAGCCTTCATCCCTTTCGGGATAAACCCTTTGTAATAGCTCTGCTACCCTGTTCAACTCTAGTTGTAGTATCGATTTCTTTCTGTAAACTCACCTTCCAACCCCTTTTCTAAGCTTTCAAACCTTCTGATAAACCACAAAGATAGGAAGTTGCAAGACGATCAGCCTTGCTCGACCCTCTTTGTTTTTATCTTTTCATTCATTAGCCTAGCAATATGTGTATAGTACAAGTTGTATCCAATTTATTTCTAGTAATATGGCTATTAAAAGACTCTCTCAGCGTTTGAAAACGATTTGAATACGTTTTCACAGTTCAAGCCAGATCTAAGTTCTAAGCCCTCGAGCATATAAGATTTGATCACTCTAAAAGTCCTTGGCCTCAAGGCATAAAAAAGAACCTGAAGTGGACTTAACCTATCCACAACAAGCTTTGATAACAAGAAGTCCGAAGTTACTTGAGGCGCAAGTAATCGACCTGTCACTTAGTTTTATTTCTGTTATATTATGATCACCATAGAACGTTCGAGTAACAAATGAATTCTGAAGGGAAGCCTCAAGGCCTATTCAAGGCCCTACAAAGGCACCTATTTGGATTCATCCTGTTCCTCGGGCTAGAACATTGAGTATAGAAAGAGTTCTGATGGGAAGCCTCAAGGCCTATCTAAGGCCCTACAAAGACACCTATTTGGATTCATTCTGCTCTTCGGGCTCAGGTAATCAAAAGTATAATGGTTATAAGACTCATATAACCAAGAAAATGAACCTTATGTATTCGAGTATTAAGTTAGTTATTAACGGGAAGCCTCAAGGCCTACACCTAAGGCCCCGCAAAGGCACCTGTCAATAACTAACATAGTCTCTTGAATATATATAATTAAAACTCAAACATCTGTTCTACATCTACCATGTGGAAGATGGCAGTGGCACGCCTGAGCACTTAAAAGTTAATCTTGATTGTGAGCCTCAAGGCCTACACCTAAGGCCTCACAAAGGCACCTTTCAAAGTTAACTATGTCCTTCTCTTTCAGCCTTGCCCGACAAGCCTTGCCCGACAGGCTTTGCCCGACAAGCCCGCCAATAAAGCAGAAGCCCAACAGAAAGCATCAACCGGCGCCGACCTCTCGGGGAACTGTGTGCTCGTCGGCTAGGGAGCATCCCCGACGGAAATTCCTACCACGAACACCAATGACATTTAATTAGCATGTATGCAGTTAACAATCACATTATTCTTTTTACTGAAAAATTGATATTAACCCTTGAAACTATATTTTCCTCTACTAAAGCCCATCTTTTTTTGTTTTTTTTTTAATAAAGCCCATTGACTAGCCTCCAACTAAACAAATTCTTTAATTAAGTTTGACTTTTTAAATTGTGTATTTTTTGAATGCCTAAACTACCCCTATTAATACTTGGATGCGATTTTTGGATCATTTACTTGTTTTATCCATTTAATTAATTTTATATATTTTACAAAATAATTCATGCCATTCATTGTATATTCAATGTATTAACTTTCAAATTGTTATAACGTGCCAATTGAAAAATAATACTATTAATTTCATAATTTTGTGCATTAAATATATAAGTTAATTTACCTACCAACACAAGAATAAACCTAAAATAGCTTCAGCTACTACTCCAATCCCTAATACACAAAACAAAAGCGATATGTTCCGTGCAATTTTTACCTACAAAATAGCCTAATTTACCTATTCCATCAAACTAAAATTTGAAGGGTCTAATTTACTTCCAAAATGGTCTAATTTACCTACTCCATCAAACCAAAATTTAATGGGTCTAATTTACTTCCAAAATGGTCTAATTTACCTACTTGATTTATGTGCATTAGATTAAAAGTTTATTTAATTGCCTACAAGCACAAACCCACAACATTGGAACATTATCTAATATCACTATTTTTTTTTCTGGAATAGGTAAATTAATTTAAATGTAGGTAAATTAGTAATATTTTATAAGTAGGTAAATTAATTTAAATGTAGGTAAATTAGTATTGTGACAGCCCGTTCCAGAAAATAATTTCCGTTGACGTGAAATTACTAGTTTACCCTTGGACGTTAAGTTGTGTGGTGCATGACTTGTATTTAAGTTGGATTTAATTATGATTTCCTAAGTTTTTGGAACCACTGAGGAACTAAGAAAGACTAAATTTTGATTGGTTGGAGAGATTTGGTCCACACACTACACCTCACTTTCTCTCTCACTCCCGTGCCCTCTCTCTCTCAGACTCACACTCTCCCTCTCTTCCTCTCTTGTACGGACACAACCAGAAACCCTTGTAAACGTGACAGATCGAAGAAGAAAAATGGTACCATTGTGTTCCTAAGGCCCTCACTAGTTCAAAGGTACCAATTACAGGTAAGAATATCTTCAATTTCACGTCAAACCACAAAACCCGATTTGGGGTACTATTCATGCTCATGTAAAATGTTGATTTTTAGGGAATTTAAAGGACATAGGGAGCTTAAGGAGGGAAGCTCAGAGTACTTCGTTTGAAGAAATTGGACGTCAGAATCGAGAGAACGACGAGTTTTAAGGTTTACCGGATTATCGAAGCTTTTTCCGGCAGGATTCCGGTGGTTTCAGAGCTCGAATCAGGTATGGTTTTGTTCGTCGTTGTGAGATCTTTAAAATGGTTCAAGTTTCATAAATTTTGGGTTAAAAATGAAGAAGATATAAGGAAATGAAAATTTCCCAGTTTCCGGCGACGACGACGGTCGTCGGAGCTGAAGGTAGAAGACGAGAGGTATTCCGTTAAGTTGAACGAAATATTCTAACGGCGTTAGGTCACGCCTTGAAGTTTTGTTAAGGAATAAACGAAATATTCCAGAATATACTTGACGGCGTCAGTTGATGTGCCTGGCACATGGCCACGCATGGGGGGGGCGTCTGGCCGTGCCTTGGCCGGCGCGTGGGAGCTAGGAAAAATATTCTAAAAATTTGGGGATGATCCTGAGGTTGTGTAGGTCCCTGTGATATATTTATATACCCAAATTGAGCAATATATGAGAAGTTATTACCTATTGTTGATTATGTGCATTAAATAACGTTTATTCGGTTATTACGCCTATAGGTGAGACCTATTCCCAAGACGTGCGTAATCAATCGAGGCTCGGGGGCTATGACCCATCGACATATCTGTGAGTGGGCAGTTATTTTTAGTGTATATATATATATACACTTGACGTTTTTCCCAGAAAACGTGTTTAAAGGAAATGTGATTTAAATGCCATGTTATGCGAATGCCTATATTTTATTTTAGTATATGCATTATCATACTTATGCATATTATCGCATGGTGCTGTGGAGGCCCAGGTAAACTCAGGTGCATTATGTTTTGATTATGTGAATTGTCAATGATGTGATATGTGATTGAATAATGTTGAGCTCATAAAACTGCACCTAGGGTGATTGTGGTTTAGCCAGAGATATGATACAGGCCTGTTTATTATGTCACCTCCCACACTATATGCTTATATTGGATCCAATTTAGGTGCACAGTCTTGTCGTACAGACCTTATTTATGGTTCCGACTTGTAGGTGACTAGCGATTTATCGCCTGGCTATTATGTGAGAGGAGTATTAAGCATAATTATATTACACCCAATCTTGTCGTACAGACATTTTTAGTGGTTTAGACTTATGTGCAGTATATTGCCGTACAGGTCATTGTAGTGACTCTGGCTAGATTGACTTAGAGCTATGAATTCAGCCGTACAGACTACCACATGGGTTCCGGCTAACATATCATATCTCTATGAATACCTGATTTGCTTACTCTATTATATCGTGGCATGGCATACATATGTTTATGATTATGTGAAGCATGATTGAAATGATATAATTACACATATATATTTATGTATATTCTTATATATTAATTCTGGGAAAAATTATACTTGTTTTACGGCGAGGGGTTAGTATATTCAAAGGAAAATAAGGTTTTCATGTAAATGTGTTTTACTGACGCACTCAACTTTGTTTTTTTTTTTTCCGCCCCTCCAGGTTTTAGTTAGCAGAGTTTGGTGGCCACGAGGAATTCAATGGTGTTCTGACAGATCCCGAAAAAAGTAGGATTCACCCTCTGGTGTTGTATCTTAGTAATTGTCCTACTTGACTGCAACTAGACTTTCTTATTGCTCTGAAAGTGTATTTATACACTTAAACTCTCACTAGTATCCTTTCTTAGTTGGGATTGTTAGTTGTTTGGTTTTAAATTGTTAGTATTTTTCTTACTTTTTATCGCTTCCGCTTTGCGTTCATGGCTACTTCACTCTCACGTGACAGCTAGCACATCTCGACTCCGGTCAGGGTGTGTTAAGTATAATATTTGTATGTAGGTAATTACATGATTCAAAATGCAGGTAAATTAGTAGAATATTTTATAAGTAGGTAAATTAATTTGTATGTAGGTAATTACATGATTCAAACAATATTATTTTTTCCGTACAAGATATGTCTTTTCTTTTTTAATTTGGTATATTAATTTATATATGTTGCTAATATTTATGATACAAGAAAGGTAAAATATTCATATGGATTTAATTGCTCATCATAATTAGGATGAGTAATAACATTTATTGACCAAATTAGGATTTTGGGGCATAAGTTGTAAATGTATTGTAATAGTTGGTCATATATTTGTCTACATGGTAGAATATTTGAAATTTGGGCTTTATTTGAATGTTTAAATTTAGGTGGGTTTTTATTTAAAAAAATAGGAGTTTCAAGAGCCTATATCTAAAGAACCCTTCTTTTTATTTTTGCCATGGTTTCATCGAGATTAATCAGATTATTCTTCCTTTGTACACAAATTTTGTTACTCATCATCAACGTTAATTTCACTCAAGCCCTGCTTGGACCTCGTGATGTTCCAATATTCCACTGTTCTAACAACAAAGGTAACTACACCACTGGCAGCACCTATCAAACAAACCTCAATGGCCTCCTCTTTGACTTACACTCTTACAACAACGGCTATGGCTTTTTCAATTCCTCCCGTGGCGAAAACATTGACAGAGTTTATGCAATCGTGCTCTGTCGAGGACTAATTAAAGAGGACATTTGCAGTAAGTGCCTTACTGACGCTGCAAACTATCTAAGGGAACATTGTACTAATCAGGAGGCAACTGGATGGCAGAACGATTGTATGTTACGCTACTCAAACCGCTCCCTATACGGCATGATGGAAACTAATCCAGATTTATACCTGAAAGATGTTGAAACTTTATCTGTATCGACAGGCTTGGATGCGTTCAGTCAGGAGAGCTCTCACTTACTGAATCGACTAGGACAAAAAGCAGCAACGGGTGGTGATCTTCGTAAATTTGCAACAGGAAACGCAAGCCTTCCAAGTTCTGATATAACAATCTATGGACTTGTTCAGTGCACCCCAGAATTATCCGAGCAGAGTTGTATTGATTGCTTAAATTATACTTTCGGAATGTTTGGATCATGTTGTAGCGTATCAGTTGGTGTGAGAATTGTGAAACCAAGCTGTGGCTCAAGGTATGAAATTTACCCCTTTCTTAACGATACAACTGAGACACCACCGGCCAATACTGCGAGTCCAGGAGGTATTACATCTTGACATCATTTTTCTATCCCACCGTATTCTGAGTAATATGTCTGATTCTTTCCTTCGGATTGTAGCACCAACTAGAAACAAATTAATTTGTAATTTGGTTCTCAAAGTTTAATAAATTATCATTCATTACACCTAGTCGTAGAAAAGATTTAGCTAATTGAAAGGCCCATATATAATCTGATATGATCAGAGAAGCTATATTTCTGATTTTTGCAGGAAAGAAGAGTAATACTTCTCAGACTGTCATCATTACGGTTGTTACGGTTGTAATTTCCCTGGTACTAATTATATTGATCTGCATTTATTTTGAGAGTGAAGAAGATGAAGGGAAAACTTGGAGGTAAGTTTAGATCAGTTAATTTTTACTTCCCTTGAAACAGAATGACCTCATGGAACACCTACTATTGATATAACCGTAGACTCAAACATATATGTATCCTTTTAATTAAATATGCTTGCAATGGCCTTATTTAGTTTTTGGTTTCATATTGCATCTCTCTCATGTAAAGAAGCAGATGAAATTCTTGATACAGAAGCCTTGCAGTTCGACCTTGGCTCCATAAGAACGGCTACAAATAACTTTTCTGAAGCAAATAAGCTTGGAAGAGGTGGATTTGGGGCTGTTTACAGGGTAACGAATCTTATCCCCATTGATGTCAGTTAAGTGATTATTGTGAGAAATAAGTTAACATTCAGATGGCGGTTGAATGCAGGGTAGGTTTTTGAACCAAGAAGATATAGCGGTTAAAAGGCTTTCTAAAGATTCTGCACAAGGAGATATAGAATTTAAAAATGAGGTCACGTTAGTAGCCAAATTTCAACATCGCATTTTAGTTAGGCTCCTTGGTTTCTGCTTGGAAGGAAACGAAAGGCTTCTTATCTATGAGTTTGTCCCGAATGCAAGCCTTGAAAAAATGAAGATTGTCCGAATGCTTTCTGATCATTTCATATTTGGTAGGGCTGGGAACTTTGGATTTCTGGTTTTATGTTGAAATGTATTGTAAGTTCTTCAATGTATACATGCTTTCCAAAAAGAGTACACTGCAACAAAAGTCATTAACAATCATTACAAAATAGTCTACTTGCTTGAATATGCAGATCCAACCAGGCGCACACATTTGGACTGGGATAGTCGCTACAAGATCATATTTGGAATTGGGAGAGGACTCCTTTACCTTCATGAAGATTCTCGTCTTAAAATAATTCATCATGATTTGAAAGCAAGTAATATTTTGTTAGATGTAGAAATGCAACCCAAGATTGCAGATTTTGGCATGGCAAGACTGTTTGATCTTGATCAAACACAAGGTGATACCAGTCGAGTTGTAGGGACGTTGTAAGTACTAGCACATCTGTATGGCCTATAATCTCAAATTTCATGTCATCTAACAATACAAGTAAATTAACAACACACAACAAGATAGTTTGGGCATAACCATTACAAGTTTCAAATATTATAACAAAAGCTAACCTTGCTTTCGTTGATATGCAGTGTTTACATGGCTCCTGAGTATGTAATGCGTGGGCACTTTTCTGTTAAGTCTAATGTGAATAGTTTCGGTGTGTTAATTTTGGAGATAGTTACTGGACAGAAAAATAGTTCTTTCCGTCATAGTGGGAACGTGGAGGACCTTCTAAGCTACGTAAGTAACACAAAAAGTTGGGCTATGTACATATCCCTGCAATTTATTAAGATTAAACTAACGAAAGAAAGGTCCTATCTGACTTTGTTAATTTCTAACTATTCGCAAAATTATGCAGGCATGGAAAAGTTGGAAGGAGGACACGGCTTCAAATTTAATAGATCCCATGTTGAAGAGTGGTTCAATACCAGAAACAATGAGATGCATCCACATAGGATTATTATGTGTGCAACAAAATATAGCTGATAGGCCAACCATGGCTGCTGTTATTCACATGCTTACTAGCTACTCTCTTGACCTTCCAGTACCTTCACAACCAGCATTTTTTATTGTTGGATCAGATGTGACTGCGGTCCAAGGGTTGAATCAATCTCGAAGTAGCTCTATCCAACAATCAGTAAATGAGGTTTCAATCACCGAACTATCTCCTCGGTAGAGCTTGTTGATGTGCACTCCACTGTGAGATGTTTCCAGTGTAATGGAGCATCTTCGATGGGAGGATAATTCTGGTGTGAAAAGGTTAGATTGGTCTAAAAGCAACTATGTACAAAAACTGCCACATTGATAGCTTCGATTCCAAGTTGTTGCCTTACTAGTTGATCGATGACGCAATGAAATATTTATGTTGTTTTGTAACACTTTTGGCCCATTCTTTTTTATGCGATTCATTGTTTAGCTATACATGTTTCGATTAATCTCAAGTTATTGGGATCCATTGGCCTTTCTTTTTTGTTATTCGATCGATAGTCTACATTAAACTAAGTAATGGAAAGGGGGATTTGAGATGCAGAGACGTTTCCTAAATTCTGTTTTCTCGAACAGTCGAATCATTCTCTAACATTGTGATGGAAACCAATTTAGCACCTCAACGGCATGAGAAGAATATACTCTGTAGCTTATGGGATATTAAAATCATGACAATATTACTTTTTGAAGCTCTAAGTACAAGGACATTAAAAATTTCATTTTCTTCTATGTTTTATAATATTCCATTTTATTATCTTTTAGTCTTATTCTTCCATATTATTTGTCTCTTCCCTGGCCTTTAATTTCCGTTTTATTGCAACCGCGTGGATATGTCATTTGGTCTGGCAGAACCCAAACCTTGGAAGTTCTTGACCTGTCCTCACTCTCCTCAACCACTCCCCTTTGAATCTTAGACCAAGTTTCTAGTTTAATTTATTTTAGAAAATGATGAAATATAATTTGCATTAAAAGAAGTTAATAATCATAGTATGTTCATTAAGGAATTAAAAAATTACTAAGCTTGAAATGTATGGTCCTTCTCCCTTTTCTCTCTTAATCGTAATAAACAACATCATTCAAGTCCTTCCTCAGACAGCACATTTTCAATTCAAATGTTGCTCCAACTATAATGGTAACTACACCACTAATAGTACCTACCACACAAACTTCGATCGCCTTCTCTTCCCTCTCCCAGCTAACGGGAAGGATTGGGGTTTTACATCTCCTTCTTATCCCCAACAGAACGAAGACAAATTTAATGCAATCGGGGTCTGTAAAGGAGATGTTGAACCCGATGCCTGCAACACTTGTCTTAGTGACTCCACACATTTTCCCACGCGAGAGCTAAAATGCAGGGATTAATATGTTGGTATTGAAACGTCATCATATCACGAACGAAAGAAATTTTCTATATATGCCTAAATGAACATTTAATTAGTTAACTTTCGAACTCCTCAAATGCAGGGTAGGCTTTTAAATGAAGAAGATGTGGCTGTGAAAAGGCTCTCTAGGTATTCTTCATAAGGGGATTTAGAGTTCAAAAATGAGGTCTCCTTAGTGGCCAGACTTCAACACCGAAATTTAGTTAGGCTTCTTGGTTTTTTGCAATGAAGGGGGCATCCAAACTAGGCAATCCCAAAGAGGAATTTTATTCCAACCGAGCTCTGATATGCGGAAATGCTTTAGCCAAGTCAACCAAGGTAGTTCGATCAGAAACGCTCAGGTCCGATGCATGGGGTATGACGAAAGGATTCCAAAGGTGTTTCTGATCCACATGCAGGCGATCAAGTCCCCAAATAACCTTTGTTTCAAACTCACTGGAAACTAATAGGCAATTCAAAATAAGGAAGGAATCTTCCCTTAGTGTCATGTTGCGTATATCAAAACCCTTAACTCTGAATGGGGGCAAAAAGAACATACAAAAACAACATAAAGGCTAGAGGCCATTCCAAACACAAGACGACACTTTCCCATGCTTAATCCGATCAATGCACCAAGACAAGTGCAGAGCAAAATATCGTCATCATAGGACGCATTGACATCTTCATATCAGTCCGATACTAGTTCTCCAACCAAAACAAGAAGCTTGGCATATACATCTATTGAAGAAATTTGTTTTAATAGATTGAAAATATGTGAGCACTCCATTTGCCCCGAATGACAAGCTGAAGAAGGATGATGGAAGGAATCCAATGTTCTATCACAGATCAAAGCACATTGGCAAGAGGTACCACTATATTAGAGATGCATTATAGTCAAACATAATTAATTTGATCAATTGCAAATCTGAGGAGCAATTGGCTGATATTTTCACATAGAGTTTGTCAAGGATATGTTCTGTATACTCAGACAAATTCTTGGAGCCAAGCCTACAACAAGATTAGAAGGGAGTGTTGATGAGTAAGCATTGTTGCAAAAACCATTCCTGCTGAGAGTGAATGAAGAATAAAGCTCAGATTATAGGAATTGTTTAGGGTTGATGAGCTTTGAATACGAGAGGTGACTCCGACTTATATGCTAGCTATGATTGATGAGATATGAATACAGTCGTACAGGTCACTAGAGGTGACTCCAACTTATGTTTCATTCTATATTGGTTAAGTTCATTTGACCTACTTGTTAATGAAATGTGGAGATGATGGACATATTATATCCATGGTATTGGCCATTCTTAAGTATGGTTTGGATATATATATATATATATATATATAAGTTTGATTTTATTACACATTTACACTCTATGTTGGTGCCCCTCCAGGTTTTAGCTGCTAAGTCCGTATCGACGAGGATCTGTGGCGAATCTTAGTATTGGTGGCCACACTACTGTACTTTACATATGCTTTGAAATCGCATGTGAAATGGGCTCGCTCCCGCTCACAACGCACCCTAGTATTTAGGCATCTTTAAGTTTAAATTTATTCACATTTTCCTTATCATTACACTTTATGACTTCGTCACCTTCTAGGTGTCGGCCAGCATAACTCGATTTCGGAGTCCTAGTGGACATTCCGGGTCGGGGTGTGTCACTCTCTGACCTATAACGACCCGTCCCTAAAAATTATAGTTTTTATAATTTTAATAAATGGATTAACGAAAATGCCCTTCGAGGCAAATGCGTTGACTTTGTTTGAACGCCTTGTCGTGTAATGTAAGATCTATTTTCTTGACGTATACTTATAGTACTCGTTGCTACGGACGTGTGGGCGAAAGCAGAATCAAATTCGGAGTTATAACGAAGAAGTTATTAATGATCGAGGTCGGGGGCAAAATAGACATTTCCCATTTATTTGGAAGACTCCAGAAAAATCTGGAGTGCCACATGTGTGGCTGAGATGAAAAGAGAAGTAAGATGGGCAGTGGAGATGGAAGGACAAAGAGAGAAATGAGGGAGTGTGGCTAATTAGGAGAGGAGAGAGAAATAGGAGCCCAATCAAAAAATGAAGTAAGGAAGCGAAAGGAGAGAGATGAGGAGCACGGGATTATGGATCCCTCACGCAAGATCGTGACCTGACCCATATGCCGGCAGTTTCTCATCGTCTTTCCACCATTTTTTCGGTGAATTGAGACCTCCCATCACTCCTAAACATCACCATAGTGTCCTAGCATCCAAATATAGCCTTAATCAACAAAGTTTCATCACGGTTTCCACGAAGAATAACCCATGGGTCCAAAGACCCTTAGTTGAAAATCCACCATTTTTTTGAAATGTTTACCCTCGATCCACATCATCAAACAACTTCTCTTAGACCTAGGAACAAGTCTCAAGCATTGGTTGGAGCATTGGAGTTGATTTGAGGACGAATTGACGAACACCCATTCTAAGGTTTTTCGGCGGGTTTGATGAAATTGGGGCCTTTTCCGGCCAAATTGGACTTGACCACATGTATGAAACTTGCTCTACTTGTTGAGATCTTCATTCATGTAAAATTTGGAAATTTTTAGAAATAGTTGGATTTTCCAGCGAGTCGGGGTGGCCGACCGCCACCCATGGCGGCACGTGGCCACAGGACCATGGATGCTATCTCTAGGATAAATTAGATGCCTTGAGTTCAGTTCTGATAATTGTATGACGTAGGTTGATCGTTAGAACCTAAATTCTCTACGATACGTGAATAGGTCATTATATGAATCGACGATCCAACCGTTGGATCGTCATCAAAGTTTAATAGGTTATTATTCATAATACTTTAGGAATGTAGGAACTTACGGATTGGGAATCCGATGTACGGATCTTTCTGAATTGGATTTGCAAGTTCATAAAATAAAACGTTGACTGCCCCTTGATTTTGGCATTTGGCAGAGATCCAACCATTGGATCGTAAAGAAATTTTAGAATGATGTTTTAGAAGCATAATGTGGATCTTTGGAAGTTACGGATCGGAAATTTGATATGTGGATCTTTCGGATCGAGTTACATAGGGTTGTGGACTCAACCGTTGATCTTTGACCGACGATTGACTTTTGGTCAATGGGTCTTAAATCATTCTAGATCGTCCTTGGGGATGTGTTTTTTGTAAGTCACGAGTTCTATTGATAAGGATTCTGAGTTGTGATTTGATAATTGTTCTAGGCGCCGATTGTTCGTGACGCCTCGAAGTTTGTGCTAGGGAATTGTAGCGTAGGCTTCAGGTGAGTGGGCTTTTGGTTTTCTATATATGCATATGTATGCTTTACGATTTTTCCCAGAAATCATTTTAAATGAAATGTGATTGAAATGCCATGTCATACTTGCGTTATATTTTAGTATATGCATTAGTGTAGTTATGCATAATGTTACATGATGCTGCGGAGGCCCAGGTAAACTACAGGTGAGTACATTATGATGTTGATGGTAATGATGGTAGTGTGTATGATTATGTATGATAAGTTACATTTGATGATTAATATCCTGCACCCCGGTGTTAGTGCTCTGCTCAAGGACAGGGCCCAACCTTCACGTGATTGTTCACCTCATGTACCACACGCTCACCTTGGATCCAAGACAGGTGCTAGCCTGTCGTACATACCACATTAGGTGGTTTTGACTCGTAGGTGATTTGCGATATTTCGCACAGCCTTTACATGATTGTAACACCTGAGAGTATTTATTTACACCTAGCCTGTCGTACATACCACATTAGGTGGTTTCGACTCGTGTGCAGGATTTGATTGATGAGCTATGGACTCAGCCAAACAGGTCACGTTAGGTGA